AGCTAGCACCTTTCTGGGTGGGGTTGTTTTTGAGAACAGTTAAGCACGCAGCTGCTAATGGAAAGGTTGGCAGTTTGAACCCACCCAGTGGCTCCACAGGAGAAAGAGATGCTACTCGGCTGTGGTGAAGAAGGCCGGCTAGGAAAATCCATAGGGCAGTTCCCCTCTGCCACTTGGGTTAGCTATCATTGGAATGGGCTCAACAGCACCTATCAACAACAAAAACAACATATGTGTGGGCAGGACAGGATCGGGTTTATTTGGACATACACAGCTCTTGACTGGGGTCCACAGTAAGTGCTGTTTTACCAGTTAGGACACTTGGACACTGGAGGGACAGTTTGACTATAAATTGGCAACAAAATGTAAGAGTTAAACGTTTCTCTCCCTTTATAAAATCCCTTGCTGAGCAGTCAGTTCGTTCCTTTGCTGCAATTTTTATGGAAGCAGAATGCCAGGCTTTTCATCTGTGGCACTGCTGGGTGGGTTTGAATGGCCGACCTTTGGGCTGCTGTGGACACGAGGAGATAGTCCCAGGATTTAGGCTGGGTCTGAACATCATACAATTTAGTTTTAAAAGTAACTGAAAGAAGATCTGCTAGCCCAAGTTTCTGTAGCCCATGGTAAGCTTATCTTCCTTGAAGCTCTGTGGTTCTCAGCGGGGGGAAATTTTGCCCCTCCTCAGAGAATATTGAAATCAAATGATGCATTGCCCTGGGCAAAACTGCTGCACAAGATCTCTTTACGGTGTTAAAGAGTAAAGATGTCATTTTGAGGACTAACGTGCTTCTGACACAAGCCGTGATATTTTCAGTTGCTGTCAAAACTTCAGGAAGACTGGAGGAGGACTGATGCATTTTAATGATGGTGTTGCCCAGGAATATTGAACGTGCCACAGACATCCAGAAGAATAAACAAGTCTGTTTTGGAAGAAGGGTAGCCAGAAGGCTCCTTGGACGAGAGGATGAAGAGACCACATCTCATATTCTTGGGACATGTTATTAGGAGAGCCCAGTCCCTGGAAAAGGGCACCAGGCTCAGCATAGTAGAGGGTGAGTGAAAAGGAAGACCTTTAATGAGATGGGTTGACACAGTGGCTACAACAATGGGCTCACGCATAATAACAATTGTGAAGATGGTGCAGGGCTGGGCAGTGATTTATTCTGTTGTACATGAGGATTGCGATGAGTTGGAATCAATTCAATGGCACCTAACAACAACAACGGGATATTTGACGTTGTCTCGAGGCAATTTTCACTGGCATGACTAGGAGGTGCTATTAGATTCAGAGTGCTGCGGAACATCCTACAATGTACTGGACAGCCCCACCACAATGATCCAAACCAAGAAACCAAACGCAATGCCACTGAGTTGATTGTAGCTCAGGGCGACCCCCTGTGGGACAGAGTCGACCTGCTCCTTTGTTACTTGGCTGTCATTTTGACAGAAGCAGTTTACGAGATTTATCATCCACAGAGTAGCTGGGTGGGTTTGAACGGCCAACCATTTGGTCAGCAGGAGACCTCAAGCTGCTGGCACTACCTAGATACCATATATAGTTAATGCGCATGGCTGCTGTGCTAGGCTGGGTTAACTAGATAAACAAATCTGACTTTCTTCTGCCTGGTTGTTTCTGTTTTGCGAACCCACTGAACTTTATCCTTGAGTAAATGATGCCTTTTAAAAATTTTAAATGGTTGGCTATACCAAGGTGTGCATATCTCACTAGTGTTACTGTTTGCTGTATAGACATATCTATTGTATGACTAACGTCTGAACCTCGTGGGTGAGTTCAGTTCCATACCTGATGGACACTTGAAGGCCATCGTCTCTAATGCAGCCAGTAAGTCTGGTCTCTGTACAGTTTTGAATTATGGTCTAAATTTCTTTCCTACTCTACCCAGGGCCTTCTAACGGGATCCCTTTCAGAGCAGCTGGTAGTAGTATCTGGAAACCACTGGCAACAACGGATTTTGTATTTTTAACCAAAAAAACATCTACTCCCAGATGTCCAAAGCGGCAACGTTGAGAAGCCCTGCTCTAAGCCAATGGGGCGAGGAGAGGGCATGCATGAACTGCTGATGGATCTCAGAGGCCAGAGGAGAGTAAGGTAGGTCTTGAGTTTCTAGTGGAGAAACTAGTTTATTATTCATCAAGGTAAAAATCATTTACCTGTTTACAATATGGACTAGGAGACAGTAATACAAAGAGGCCAGAAGAGAGTAAGGTGAATTTCTACCCAGGAAGGACAAGGTGCCACTGTCATTAAGAAGCACTAGGAAGGACCTACGAGCCGGGCTCAACTGAAGGGGCTGTAGTGTTGACTCATACAACCAACAAGAGCAGCATTGACCGAGAGAGCCTCCTGTGCTTTGTTCTGGGGCTAAGCACTGGCCATTCAGCCAGCAGTTTTTTTTGGTTTTTCCTTGAACCTATATTTATTGAACCCCTGCTTGAGTCTGTGACTGTGCAAGAAATATAAAAGGAGATACAACGTGATCCTCTTCTTGAGGAGTTCAGAACCAACTATCAGAGATATATCAACACACAGAAAATCGAGCTGGGAGGATTTTTGCTTTCTTTATGTCAAGGTGTAATTCATATGGAAGCCCATATAGTTTTTGATCTTCATCCAGTCTTCCCCTTCAGCAAGCCAAATTGTGTCATCTGCATATTGCAGGTTGTTAATAAGCCTCCCTCCATCCTGGTGCTGCGATCTTTTTCAAACAGCCCAACTTTTCAGGTTATTTGCTCAGTATGCAGAGTGAGGGAGAAAGATGAGGCTTTCTACTCCTGTAAAGAGTAGAAACAACCTCGGAAACTCACAGAGGCAGTTCTACTATATCATATAGGGTTGTCTTGAGTCAATTATGACTCACGAGTAAGTCATAATGGACTCCATAGCAGTGAGTCTGGTTTTGGTTTATGCAGATTGAATAAGTAGGATGAAATGGCACAACCCTGAAGCACACCTTTCCTGATTTTGAACCTTGCAGTATCTTAGTCTGTATTCAGATTCCTAATGAGCACAATAAAGTGTTCTGGAATTGCCATTTTGCCCCAATGGTATCCATAATTTGTTATGATTCACACAATCAAATGCCTTTGCATAGTCAATAGAAGTAGCTTTACTGTGGACAATATACTCAACAAAACACATCTCAACAATTCTACATATACAATTCAATGGCACTGATTGCATGCTTCAAGTTGTGTTATTCTTCTTGCTATTCTTTTCAAAATCATTCCACCCTCACTAACATACACTTGAGGCCCACTAAGCAAAAACCTACCCTTTCCCACTGGCTTTCATCACTCATCCCTGTTTCCAAGGCTCATCCTTGCTCTGGCATGCATCGGCACTTCATTTCCTTGGATGGCCAAATAGCTTTCCACTTTTTCTCCATTTTTCTGTTGATGAATACTTTGGTTGTTTCTGCCTTTTGACTATTGTGAATAGAGCTACCGCACACTTTGGTGTACACGTTTCTGTTTGACTTCCTGCCTTCTCATCTTCTGATTATATATCTGGCATTGGAATTCTGGGTCATATGGTAGTTCTAAGGACATCACGCTCAGTACAGTAGAGAAGCAGCGAAAAAGAGGAAGGACATCAAGGAAATGGATTGACACAGCGACCACAACCATGGGCACAAGCACAGGAACAATTGTGAGGATGGCACAGGACCGGGCAGTGTTTTGCTCTGTTGTACAGAGGGTCACAACTCGATGGTACCTAACAAGAACAACAACATACTAGTTCTATGCTCAACTTTTTTTGAGGAACTATTAAATCATTTTCCACAATGACTGTACATTTCCACCAGCAAGAATGCAGGTTGCAGTGTTTCTTCTGAACGTGAAATTTTGACTACAAAGGTCATTGGCTAGCTCCTGAATAGGTTGTGCCAATTGTCATGTTCAGGGATGCATGTTGCTGCTTTCCCACCTTGTGATAGGCATCATGAGTAGATCATGGCTTTCCCCCTTCTGATTCTAGTTGTGACCTGATGTCTCGTCTCAAGACAGCAGCCTAGGCAGCCTTTCCTAGTTGGTTGCAGTTGGCCTGTGGAATGAAGCTTATTTGCCATCCTAGCCTAAAGACCTCCTTGCCAAAGGTATCCTGTTATTCCTGTAGTTAAAGTCTGTTGCATGAAACATGGGGGATACGAACCAGTCAGTGACCTCAGAGTTCATTCTCGTGGGGATCTTCAGTCACTCAGGGCCACACGAGCTCCTCTTCATGCTGGTGATTGCTGTGTTTATCATGGGCCTTCTGGGCAACACCATCCTGCTTTTCCTCATCCGAATTGACTCCCGTCTCCACACACCCATGTACTTTCTGCTCAGCCAACTATCCATGTTTGACATTGGATTCCCGCTGGTCACCATCCCCAAGATGGCTGCCAACTTCCTTCAGGAAGAGCCTTCCATCTCCTTTGGGGGCTGCGCAGCTCAGATATTCTTCTTGACAATGATGGGTGTGGCTGAGGTTGTCCTGCTGGCCCTCATGTCCTATGACCGTTATGTTGCTGTGTGCTACCCCCTTCAGTACCCCGTGCTCATGAGACGCCAGGTGTACATGCTCATGGTGGGTGCCTCCTGGCTGGCAGGTGTGCTCAATGCCTCTATCCAGACCTCCATCACCCTGCATTTTCCCTACTGTGCATCCCGCATCGTGGACCACTTCTTCTGTGAGGTGCCTGCCCTGTTGAAACTCTCCTGTGCAGACACCTCTGCCTATGAGCTGGCGCTGTCCACCTCTGGAGTGGTGATTCTTGTGTTTCCTATGTCCCTCATTGCCACCTCCTATGGCCACGTACTGGGGGCTGTTCTTCGCATGCGCTCTGATGAGGCTCGGCACAAGGCCATCACCACTTGCTCCTCACACATCACAGTGGTGGGGCTCTTTTATGGTGCAGCTGTGTTCATGTACATGGTGCCTGGTGCCTACCACAGCTCACACCAGGACAATGTGGTCTCTCTCTTCTACAGCCTTGTCACCCCCACACTCAACCCCATTATCTACAGCCTGAGGAATCGGGAGGTGAGGATGGCTTTAGTCAAAGTACTCAACAGAGCTAGGCTCAGACCAAAGTGATGATCACCCAGAGGGATCCTGGGGTGACATCCGTGCCCCTCCATCAAATTAATCTCCCCAAAGCACCCATTTGTGGTGCAGCTGCTAAGGCCTTAGGTCCAAGGCTATGTGCCTAACTCCTGTGAGATCCATGGCTACTTGGGTTCACTTTTTCTCCCATGGACTTGGGGAAAGTAAATTTCTTAATTACTTCAAATGTATTCTTCCTTTGCTCTTTCCACAATTGAGAGGACCTGTTTTGTAAAGATGAGTTATCTCTGCTATTAAATAAATGGTTGTACTAACATGTATTCATCACTTGATCTGCTCAGTATATTTCATTTTGTTCTTGTGAATGTTTCACGACATAGGGACTACAATGTTTTATGTTAAAAAAATAAATAAGTGGTTCCCAGAGGGTGAGTAACTCATCAATGACCAGATATCTCTGATGCCAAAGATATTCCTTAGCCACTGTGCTATGTTGACTGCTGAGCTGAGATCTGATAATGACAATGGATTAGTATGCTTGTGTGTGCTGGGAAGTGGGGGATTGGGCCAGACAATATCTGATCAACCACAACTTCCTGAATACAAGAGCCAATGCTTTGAATGATGACAGAGGTAAAACTTGATTGCATTTGTATATTATTTATTGAAGTTTGAGGTTTGTTAAGATGTTCACTGCCCATTGGGGTCTGGCCACTTTATCACGAATTATGTGGGGTTGGAGCTGGTTCCTCCATGTATGCTTTCCTTCCCACCATCTCTGTGACTTCTTAATGGTATCAAGTATGCACCCCATACTTAGTGGGTATGCCAGTCTGTCATATTCTGGTGGCTCGTGTGTGACCCAGCAGTCACTCAAAGTGAACAGGGTTCAGCAGAGCTTCCAGACTAAGAACAGACTATGAAGAAGGAATAGACTGTCCACTTCAGAGGGAGTAGCCACTGCAAATCCTATGGATAGCATTGAGACATTGTCAGTTACTGAAAAGCTCATGAGCTCCTCGGGTCAGAAGTTACTAAAAATATAACTGAGGAAAACTGCCTTCACAGACTAAAGTCCATCATAATGACAGGGATGGGAATAAAGCCCGTGGGAACAAAGTCTTTGGGACTTTCATATGCTGATGGAGCGCAGCTCAAAATGAGAAGAAGCAGCTGTAAACATCAATTAATAATTATAACTTACAAGGTACAAAGCATGGATCTAGGAAATTGGAAGGCACTAAAAAGGAAATGGAACACATAAATATCTATATGCTAGGTGTTAGTAAGCTCAGAGGACTGGTATTGACTATATGAACCAGAAAATCAGATGGTTTACTGTGCTGGGAATGACACAATGAATAGAAGCAGAATATAACTTAAGTGCATTCACTGACATTTCAAGGTCCATCTTGATGTGTAATGCTGTCAGTGATAGGATAATATCTAGTTGCAAACAACGATATTTAATCAATACAACTATTATCCAAATTTATGTCCCAATCACTAAAGCTAATGATGAAGAAATGAAAGAATTGAACCAATGCCTTCAGTCTGAAATCGATCAAACATGCAATCAAGATGCAATGATAAATATTGGTGATTGGAATCCAAATGTTGAAAACAAAGAGGAAGGAATAGTAGTTGGAAAATATGGACTTGGAGATCTAAATGAAGCTAAGATTGCATGATAGAATTTTGTAAGACCAATGACTTCTTCATCACAAATACCTTTTTCCAGTAACACAAATGGCAGCTAAGCACATGAACTTCTCCAGCTGGAACACACAGAAATAAAATGGACTATATTTATAGGAAAAGAGATGATGGAGAAAATCAATTAGCGCAGCTAAAACCAGACCAGGGACCAACTGTGGAATAGATCACCATTTACATCATCATATGTAAGTTCAGCTGAAGAAAATTAAAACAAGCGCACAAGAGTCAACATATGACCTTGAGTATATTTCACCCAAATTTTGAGAACATCTCAAGAACAGATTTGACACATTGAACACTAAGGAGAGAAGACTTGATGAGCTGTGGGTGAACATCAAGAACATCATTCATGAAAAAATACAAATGTCATCCAAAAGGCAGTAAAGGGGTTCAGAGTTAAGATGGCATCCAGGTAGAATCACTGCCTTGGTGCTCCTGTTGCTAGATGAGAAAGTTAAGTGGTTAGGAGGCCAATACAGGGAGTCTGAGTGTTCAAAATAGATTCAGTGTACTAGGGTCTGGTTCAGACATACCCCTGTGATTTTCACCCACGAAGCAACTGGAGAACTTGCTGAAACGTGCTAAGCTCACTGCATCTATTTTCAAGCTTGACTAATCCCTTGCCAGGTCTATCAGGATGGCTTCTGCCATCCATTCCTATGTCCAAAATATGAGACATGCTGTGAGCAGTAATTTCCCCAGGCTGCTGTCAAAAAGTGTTCATATTCCTAGGCTCGAGGAGAACCTCCAAGAACTAGCCACAAGATTGCACACCAGAGTTTCCTTCTCTGCTATTCTCTCTGGTCCTGCAGTCCAGGAACACAGTGATTACATCGGCCACCCCTTTTCCCCCTCTCCCCAGCTCCACGCCTGCTAGCATAGGCAGCAATAGATAATTAGATAATAATTTGCAGCAATTGAAAAGCCACTGGGATATTTGCACGTGACAGTATGCAGTTTCACAGAGCACAATTGGTAGTGTTGTGCAGGATAGACACGACAAGAGTGGCACAGGAGTGCAGCCATGGGAGAATTTAGTTCCAGTAAGTGCCAAACCCACTTTGCTAATCGGCCTCCTTCCCTGGGGGACAGTGCATCACAACCCTGAGACCAGGGCACCAGAAGCCTATTTTAAAAGGGGGAAAATTTAGAACAAACAAATAAATAAACAAACAAAAGCACTTTGAATTCCAGGCTGTGGACCTTTGTGTAACTTTGAACGTAAGCCTCCAGAACTCTGCCCTTTAGCATAACATCAACATAACGACACTAATCGCTAGAGCACAGCCTAGGACTTCAGCATAACAACATGGGGAACAAATGAACAGGTTCCAATAGCCAGCCCAAGCCAAAAAACTGGCTCCATCAGTTCTGGGCTCCACATAGTCTTTAAAAGGCTGAAAATTGTGGCCCAACAGTCCAGACCAGGCCCATGCCCATGCTGTAATACCACCCCAATCTGGCTAGTGGCAAACCTACAGTTGCCTGCCTCAGCCCAGACTCCAAGCCCCCCCACTTCTGGTGTCCACTGAGTCACCACAGCACCATGCCTACATAGCAGTCCATTCCACCACAATAGTAGCCCACAGGTAGTCTTTGAAAACACTTTTACCAGACACACAGAAAAAGAACTCAGGGCCCCTTTCTCTCCAGAAACATGGCACCCAGTTCCAAAATGACTCGCAAACAGCAACACACTTCAATATGTTCAACAAGAAATGAGAAAAGCAAAACACAACAAAGAGGTAGTTGTAAACCTAACGACACTCATAGAAGAATCAGACCATGACCTGCCGAAAAAAGAAATCTTCAGAATGATGCTTGGAGTAATACAGGGATGGGGGGAAGCAATGCAGAACAAGGACACAATGATAGAGGGGATGAAGTCCATGCACCAAATGGAAATATAAGAACTAATGGATGAAGGAACAGAAGCAAAACACAAGATCACGGACTGCACCAACTGACTAGAAGAGACAGAGGATTGTACCAGTGACCTTGAGGACATTCAGGTAGACTTCAACAAATGGGAAAGGCAGTCAAACAAGATAATCAAAGAGGCAGAAGAAAACCTGAGGTCAATGACAGATGCTATGATGAGGAACAATATTCTAATAAATGGTCTACCAGAAAAAGACACAGTGGAAGACGTCAACAGCTAAATTAGTGAGGGAATTCTGGAAGCAAACTTCCCCACCTAAATGAATTAGAATCAGACACTCATACAGGAAGCAGAGAGGACACCAATTAGACCAAAAACTCTGGAAGAACTCACCAAGGTCCATAACAATGAAATTATCCAACTTCAAGGAAAAAGAGAAAATTCTAAGAGCAGCAAGAGCAGAAAAGATGGTAACATACAATGGTGCTCCGGTAAGAATATGCTCAGACCTGCCAGCAGATACCATGAATGGGAGGAGAGATTGGAGTAACATTTTCTGAAACCTGAAAGAAAAAAACCCC